TGAAATATCCAATAAATTTCGTTCCACTTCATAATTGTGTCCCACTTGTTGTTGATTCTTCACAAAAAATTACAGTTTTATATCTTTATGTTTGAAGCCTGAAATCTGGCAAAAGGTCGAAAAGTTCAAGGGGGCCGAATACTTTTGCAAGGCACTGTAGCTGATGGGAAAATGTTATCTGATGGCCAAAACTCAAAAAAACATTCAAGCTGGAAAAAATGGTCAACAAAGTGAAAGATTTTAACAGAATGTTCTGCTATGATACATGTGGGTCTAATTATGTCTGGTGTGTGAATGTACCTTCATGTTCTACTCCCGGTACAGAGAGGTCCTCAGTTCCTTGCCACAGCACCTTGCCCGTCTCTGCATCTCGAAGATTCATCCAGTTTCTAACAGGAAAAGGTTAAGGTACAACAACCAAACTAGAGAATATCCAAAATGAACTGAATTGAAATAGCCATGGAATAATTTAAACACTAAAGGAATACCAGCCTGATCTGCCTTAAACACAGTTGTAACAATCTTTGAACAACATCTACTACCACTCATGTGTTATCAACCTGAAGAATCCATCAGTTAACATTAAACCGTCTCATTTCACCATATCCACTGTGGAAAGTTGATTTATTATTATTTCTATGAAATGTTCTATTCAGCTATCAACCCTTGAGCAAAACAATAGGATATGTAGTGAAAACGCATTCCAAACAACTCTTTACTGCACTTTTCACATTTTATAAACAACTAAGATAGAACAGTAACAAAATTAAAACATTTTACATTTAAAAAACTAAAAACAATTTTAAAAAATTATTGTAGACTGGGAGCCAGAGCGTTCAGCTATCAAGCTCCTCTCCTGTGGAACCAGGTTCCAGTTTGGGTTCAGGAGGCAGACACCATCTCCACATTTAAGAGTAGGCTTAAGACTTTCCTCTTTGATAAAGCTTATAGTTAGGGCTGGCTCAGGTAGTCCTGAACCATCCCTTAGTTATGCTGCTATAGGCCTAGACTGCCGGGGGATTTCCTATGATGCACTGAGCTCCTCTCTCCTCTACTTTCTCTCCCTCTGTATGCAACCTCATCCCATTATTGCATGTTATAACACAACTTCTCCCCTTTCTGGTAGTCTTGTGCTTTCTCGTCTCTCTCCTCTCTCCTCCTATCACTTCCTGCAGGTTTTCTGGCTCTGGAGCTGTGGAGTCTGGATCTGTGGCTGCGGGTCACCTGCTGCCCCCGTGTTCCTGCTCGACACCCTCTGCTACAACGACTATTGCTACTAGTCCTTTCGTTATTATTGTTAATTATTACCATCATCATCATTACTATGACGATTATAATCATAAACATTACTGTATATATCTGGACCATTTTTCATTTAGTCTATAGCAACATTATGTTTACTGTCTGTACCTCTGTGTGTATATTGTGTAGTCCCCCACCTTCCCCCCCTTCTCCCCCTTCTCCTGAATGCCTAAAGGTCTGCAAACAAGGCTAACCAGGCACTAGTATTTGCCTTAGACACCCATAAGCACAACATTGTTCGGAAGGTCAGCAAATATCAAGCTTTAGAAACACATAATAGTCAAAATGCATCCGAGAATGAATGAAAAGAAATACTGCTAGCTTATAGGTAACCTAAAGACAACAGTGTCTAAGTGAGAAGCTTTTGTGTAGGTGATGCTCGCCGCTAGCTGTCCCGTCAGTCTGTCAGTTGGTCAGCTGTTCCTGACCTACGCACACATTAAACACAATAAAGCTGTCAATCACAGAGCCTGTAAGGACTTAAGGCTCGTGCAGACTACAGGACTTTCAGCATCGGCCGACGGCCGTGCCGTTCACACTACACTACTTTCCGTCTTGTGATGGGAGTCTTGAAGTCGTTGTGGCACACTACGTGACTGATCGGTGGGTCAGGGGGTCACACACACACACTACATGAGCTGACAGCGACTCTGTCACCCAACACTGGTCTCCAAACCACGTTTTTTTAAGAAAACACGTGAAATGTGAAACGGGAAATGACACGAACCTAGAGACACAACAGCTGTTGTTTGTTATTATAAAGATAGCAATTACAAAGACTGCCTGCTCTCATTAGCTGGATGTGGATGTCGAGTGGGCCTACTCCTCCAGATAGTTGACATGCTAGATATCTGGCAGACGTTGGTGGTGTCAGAAATGTGTCAGGGAGCCGTTGTGATGCATTGTTGAGTAGTTTACACGTAACGACCGCCGATCAACCACTGATTTACTCCCGACCACAGCATGACGGTCGCCGAGCTCGCCGAGGCTAAAAATCGTGTAGTGTGAACTAGGCTTTAGTCAGTGAATCTACTGTACATTACATCTTCCCTGTGTCTTGACAATCATTAACAACACACCTTCGGTCATAGTTCCTAAAAGTGTGTGGGGGCACCAATGCATTGGAAGGCAAACAATTCTTTAACTGTGGAGCCCAGGAAAGGAAACTGGCCAAAATACACTGTGTAGAATTTAAGGAATGACTCTGTTAAGGCAAATAAGAAAGATGATGACTTCAACTGACCACTTAACATGATTTACCCTGGTGTGTAATGTACTTCACTCCACGGAGAGTTGGAGGCTGCAGGGAAGAAGGAGTCATTATTATATGACAACCTGAGAATACTGGATAAGTATTCTCAGGTTTTTATCCTGTGCGATGCCAGATCAATTCATTTTTCAGTCTTTTAGGCTAATATTCATTTTCATAACATAGTCATTACATTTTCTCCAAACTAAATATCCTATGTTATTGTTTTGAAGTTTGGACCCACTTATAATTCAAAAATTGGCTAGGGATAAAATGTCATGCCTGTTTGGCACTACTTTCATCCTTTGTTTTTAAAGATTCTCCACTCAGCATCCTGTCACACTCAGGTACTACTTAGTGTCACACACACACACTTGACTCTACACCATCTGTGAGGTCCTTTATCCCACCTCAAATCCACCATCAACTGCCTAAAACACACAGCTTCTAAAGCTCCAGGATTCTGACCTACCATGTTATATGAATGAGGAGAATTACTATCACACACACAGTAAACTGAAAGGACACAATTTCTTTTGCGCATCAGCTTTCATCTTTGCAACAGAAGATCATATTGTTGAATTTTGCATAAATCATAAATCCAGCTGGTCAGGATGTTGAATAGAATAGAAAATAATAGAAAACTTGTACAACGAAAATGTCAAAGTGCTGACCAGCCAGTGCACTGCACAACTATTTTGGATTTTTTCAAGACTAAAAGTAAAAGATATGCAAGATACTGGCATAAAAAGTAAACAGAAAAATTATTCCAACAAACTTCTTCCAAGATTTCCAGCATATGTGGCTTGTTGTGAATAGAAAAGAGTAAATATTGACTGACATTAGAATCCCAGCCCAGCTCTGCTCATCAGCATTTTGATTTGTTTTACATTTTTGTTTTTTCGAAGTCTAGTCTTACCTTAATACATGTCTCGAAAAAAAATTGTATTTAATGTTTTGTTGCAAACACTTAAGACCATTAATTGAATGATTTCTTTCTAATAAATTACATTTCTTAAAATGTTTGCATGAAAGCCTGCAGAGGAAGAGATAAAAGTACCAATAATCACCAATAACTATAGAGTTCGTGAAAAAACAAGGATGAAGTGATCATATTTGGACTAAACATTTTTCTCAATAAGATAAAATATATGATTCTAATCCAATTCAAAATACTCTTATAGTTCCATTATTTCAATTACAATTTCACCCTCCCAATGATCTTAACATTTAATGTCATCAAATATTAAATTCTACTTCTACAGTTGAGATTCATGAAGCAGCAAAAACTAAAATACTTTTGTGAGATTTCATGTGGAGTGTGCCTTTTCAAAGCATATCATTTAAAATTAAATTCAAGGGAATGAAAATGATCAAATTATATCATTATTAAACACTCATCTGACATCACCTATTGGGAGCTTTAGTCCATGTCTATTAGTGCTGTACTGGCCATCAGTAACCCTTGGGTAAGATCCAACGACAGCAGAGCTCCCCGCATAGATTTCCTAATGACAGTTACACCAACTAAAGAAGTGGGCAACTATCATCCATCATCAAAAACCATTCCCTGTGCACACCTGGTATTGTGTTTCCTTTTTGTTGATTCTCTCAAATCACTTCCTCACAAACTAAACAAAAGAAAATCTTGTACAGCAATTAAAGGAGACCCATTATACTGCATTTGCAGTAATGTAATCTTTAAACTAATCTTTTAACACCAACAACATCATGCAAGGTTGTACCACAGCCTCCTCAGGGCCTGCTGAAGGTTGTGTGTGTAAACCACTAGGGTGCCTGCACAAGTCGGTCAGAACATATACACAAGAAGTTAATGAGCCCACAGGGAAAAGCTGCTGTCACTGGTAAGTCTATTGTAGTAATGTTTGTAATGTGTAGCAACATTAACGATTTTGTAATGAACTTTGCCTTTTGCATTAAAAAGAAGGCATGCCAACTACAGAGCAAACTGAGCCCAGTCCTGCAGGAGTAAAGGGGAGTAACACAAAACATCTAATCATCACACAGTTCCACATTTCCATTTCTATATATGTATATGTTAGCAAATCAAATGGAAAGCAGTGTTGTCTGCTCAAGGAGAGTAATCATTTTTCAACAGGGGTGGAAATTAACTTATTGGCTCACTTGCCAAGGTGGCTGGTAAATGAAAAAATCCACCGGCCACACATATTTTTACCAGCCAAGATAATGAATTGCCTTTTGTGTCACATATACATTTGTTTCCTTACACTTAATTGAGATAATAAGGTATTATGTCAAATACAAACTTAAGAAGAGGCCAGAGTGAAATTGAAGCAAAATTATATAATTGCTATTAAATGTACTTAAAACATAACAGTAACGTGTATTCTCAACTTACAAGATGCTTCTTAATCATTCAACTTAAATATCATCACTGCTCACTCTTAATCATGTTTTATCATTCAACTTAAACCTCCTCATCAGACTGCTCATTTTCTACAATCACCCTCTTCTGGCCTGGTTCTGACAGAGTCCTGGTGCCACAGCATGACAGGTTTTGTGAGATCAACATTTTTTATACAGCCTATGGATCATTCTCCTTGATCTCTGGGGAGGACAGCAGGGCCATTAAAAGATCTGACAGTGTGTCAGACACTGACTGGACCGCCAACTACCCAGCTAAAAGCTAAAAACACAAGTAACGTTACTACTTTTGTCATTAGCTCCTAAGACTAGCAGCTTTCACACTGCCTTATTTCACAGGGGTATTGCGCAAATCTGCCAGCTCACTGTACTCTATGAAAGGTACAGAACCGATTTGATCCACCTCTGAGCAGGGAAAGTTGGTGACGCATGAGACAGAAAGACGGAACAATTTCTGTGTTGAAAGCCACAGCCGACCTGCATGGTGCTTGTTCTTGTAAAGTCAGACCGCTATGTGAAAGCATACATGATTGAGAGATAAAAGCCTTTTCACACAACTACTACAAACTTTTGTTCAGTATGAAGAAGTGAATGCGTCATAGATGCGGATATTCTTTCCGCACTGATCTCCGTATGAAAGCGACTACACTCTCACTCTCCCCTCCCAACTCCTGTCGCCTGTCCCCTAACACCCACCCCTTAAAAATCTACGCCAATCAAACACAAGTAACATGAAAAGAACATAAAC